ACCTGATCTAAACTACATTTTATGATTGGATAAATTAGATATTTTACCACTGTAAAGTATTTAATATTAACCAATCATGATCCATCTAACTAACAACCCACTTATTTGTAAGTGCTGAAATTACTTGTAATTTCAGCACCAGAGAGATTTGAATTTAACTTAAAATTAGTTGCCTCTCCAAGAGAACTTCAGCAGCCGCAATAAACCAGTATACCCTAGATCTATTGAGCCTAGCAGAGACTAGTTAAACAACCTGAGACTAGATAGTATAAGAGTAAGATTAGGATCGGTATTAGACTAAGAAGTTGCACGAATCTATCCGGCCGAAAATAAGATAGCGTGACGAGCAGACGGTGTACCCTATCCGAAATTACTTTATGAGTTAACCACTTCGGTTCTAACTCATTCTGATCAGCCGCTTACGCGTTATTGTCACGAGATATATCGCGTGTAATAGATCCTAAGTTAAAAACAGATAAGCCCCCCTATTACTTTCGCAATGCATAAATTATAATTCATCACTCAATTTTCTACGCGGTTCTAGGGAAATATTCTGGAAAGGTTTGCATTCTCAAAACAATTAACGCAAAATATTGAAAGGTTGCCACGGTAATGAAACAGTAAATGTGCGCAAATTGTCTTCAACTGTCTTTTTTAGAATCAATTTTCTTGCGCTGAGCGAATGAAAAAATAATTTAAAAGAGTATTTTGAAACAATTCATTTCTGCTTCAGAAAGTTATACATTAGTTATATTCAGACTCTTTTTGGGCCAAATATCGATACAACAATTCAATGAAAAAGTATGCATTTGTTTACAACTTTTTTTCATGGTTTGATAGTCGACTAATTCTAGATACAATCTGTAAGAAAATAAATTTAAATTAGGTAGAATGAAAATCGGTATGTAACCTTTTTCACCTAACTTTTTTTACAAATCCGAAAATGAATTCAAAAATGTGCCAAAATAGATTTAAAATCAGTTTAGATCGAGTGAATTTTAAGCAACATTTTTGGCTCTTACAAAATTTTTTTGAAATTAATTTAAAAAGGTTTTCCAGGTTTTTGTAACAGAATTTGTATAAAAGTGATTGCATACGTTTCTTGTCAGTTTTGGGCATGCTCGTACGGTGTCATGTTACTCAGCCAAAGTATGAACCTGCTGTCACAAGAACCAGCCAAAAATATTAAACTTTTACTTAAAATTTATATAACAGTTTATAGAATACTTCGGTATATCATGCAATCTTCATTCAAATGGCTTAGTTTTTGACCAAAATAAACAATTTGAAGCACAACTTCCTCTCAAGGATCGAGTTGCTCGACTAGTTTTTTGACTTTGAAAGTCGGGCAAGTGCTTTTGCGACTGCCATTCCGCGTTCGAGGAGCAATTTTAATTTGAGCACAAACTCGTAGCATGCCCGATTTTGGCCGAGCGAGTCACAACATATCCAATTTTGGCCGAGAAAGGCAATAAACAGGTCAAAAAACAGTTCGAGCGCAGCCGAAACATAGGTCGTGCACAACATAATGTTTTCAAGGTTTTAATTAGAGTTAAATTGGAAATTGAGCAAAAAAACTCTGCGGAGAAAATTTCACGGCAATCAATCTCACGCAAACCACGACAATCAATCTCTCGATTTAGGGGAATCCTGTAATTTATGGAAATTTAAAGATTCCTGTGGCAAAAATTACTTTCTACCCAAAACTGTAACTGTCGGTTTTCTCATCCACAGCTTCAGTCCAGATTTCTAAAGATAATAAAAGCAAATTTGGAAACTCAACTTGAAAAAAAAAATGTTTTTGATGGAGCAGTTTTGCCTTCCACAGGTTTTTATAGTTTATTTTGGAATCAGGCTTCATCACAAAAAATCAACTGAGAAGGAAGCATTACGATTTTTGTCAATTTACTCTAGTTATCTGATAGTAAAAAATTGATACATAAGTATTGATACATAAATCACACAGTGCAACACCCATTTTTGGTCGAGAAAGTTGAAATTTACCAAAAATTGGTCGAGACGTTCGAAACAAACAAATTTTTGGCCGAGAATGTTGAAACATAAAACGAACACCTCGAGCCGAGCTGATTTAAAAACTTTGCGTTGTTTTTGCTCGTTTATACTTCGGCTGTTTGTCACGTCTAGTGTTTAAGGTACTTTAAAAATCACAACTCAGTTGCACCAGGTTCAAAATGTTATCATCATCAACCAGCGCAGCGTCTGAGGGATGTCGATTTGGAAACTACCGAAGAGATGGAATGGACCGCACACTTTTGTACCTCAGCTGGGTAAGAAAGCAATGGCGTAATTTCAAACATGGGGCAGTACCTTGACATTTTGAAGGCATCTATTGAAGCTACCATGTGCAACCAGTTTGGTTTCATTTTTGCTTAAGTTTCGCACGTTTTTTTTGTATGCAATATGACTGTAACAACTTTGTTATTTGAAAGATTGTCATTTCATTTAGTCTCATTCGAGGCTAAGAAGGATAGATTAATCCTTCTATAGCCATTGGCTGAAGGGCCAAAGACAGTATCTCCATTACTTTTCGACCTCATTCGGACAGAGCCAATACGTGGTTCACTTAGACATTCAACAATTAGATCGCTATAAATTGAAGGTCACTACTTTATAACACCCCCTTATACTAGAAATAGTATATTTAACATCCGTATGACCAGCTGCCAAGATACTTAAAACACGCGACGTCGATAGAAACAGGACTGGGAACCTTTTGTTCCTTTTTTGACAGTGTTTGATCATTTCTGATGAATGAGTTTAAAACTGAACTTATCCCAAAGAAATGAAAAAAGTCTCGGATAAACTCGTTCAAAGGCTCAGGATTCAACAACAAGCAATTTAATCAATCTCGGTTCAAAGTAACTAAGTAACTCAAGAAGTTTTGTAAGTTTTAAAAAGTTTCTGACCGCTGGGTTAGTTCACTGGGAAGCCTCTCATGAGTGGATATTTTCTAGTTTTCGATGTCGAGCTGATTTTCTACAGACCGTACTGGAATTGTCCTTCTAGCTTTCTATTAGGAACAAGACAATTCTGCTCACTCATTCTGACATTACTACAGGCCAATGGGTACTATTAATTGGGTTAAAAGGTAATTTTTGGTCTTTTCTGCTAAAAGGGCTGTTGTCACACAGTATGATAGGCTCAATCTCAAAATTTTAAACTTTAATTCCAAGCAAAAAGTTTTTTTTTTGTAATTATGACTGAATAGCACATACTCCCCAGACTCAGAACTGATGTCCTCGTCGGATACTGTCATTGTGTCAGCGAGCTTCCAGAATCTCAAAATATCAGGAACACAGTGCTATGGGTCAATTTTGGATGATATGAATTTAATTCCATGTGCTTTCCCGCAATACTCACAGCCATATAAAAATTGCATTCTAAATCGAAAAGGCAAAACAAAATTGACATCCATCTGCACAAGGGTTCTGATGTTTTGAGTCCCTTTAAATTTATTTTCATTCGATCAAGATTCATCTAAAAGTTTACTAAATTTAATCCAGTATTTTGCGGCTAATGTTTAGAAAATTATTCAAATCAGTCAATTGAAAAAAATTCTTGCGGCATATTTCATACAACCAAAAATTTATTATAATTAGTTACAAAATTTTTCAAAAAACTTCTCAAGCCATTTTTGTGCTTCCGGGTTTTCATGCTGGAACCACAGCCAAAATCAAGTATGATGAAAATCAAGCAGTCTCTATTATACTTTAGTATTTCAAGTAGTTCTATTGTCCTAGTTAACCATGCCGCCCGGGTCGAGATCCCGATCAAAAAAAAGCTCAAGATATGGGCGGTTTGAGCGGTTTTCCGGCAAGATTTGAGCGGTTTGAGCGGTTTGGGCGGTTTTGGCGTTTTTTTTTTGGTAAAACCGCTCAAACCGCTCAAATCTTGCTTAAAAAACCGCTCAAAAACCGCTCATTTCTTGCGGTGATTTTTGAACGGTTTTTCAAGCAAGATTAGAGCGGTTTTTAAGCGGTTTTTGAGCGGTCTTATAAAGAAAACCGATTAAAACCAACAAAAAGACCTGGAAAGGTAATGTGACCCCGAGTTGACATCCATAAACCGAAAATGCTTATTTTAAATTTCCCCACACCGAAAAAGCTTATCATACAATTGCCTGCATCAAATGTATAGAAAAATGCTAATCATACAATTTTCATACAATTTCAAAAAACCATTGAAAAAAGATTCAATTTAGTTTCTCGGCTATTTGAACCAAATACAACAGTCTGGTGATGAAAAACAACTACGTTTATTTTTTTTGAAAAAAAAAATGGTTATCATACAATTTCCATATATGAAAATTGTATGATAACCATTTTTTCATGAAAAGCAAGATTGAATTTTTCTTACGTACTAGAGCTTGATTCGCAAGTTCATTTTAGTCCTGGCAACTGATCAGAAGTGTATCGCAAGCTTTCATTTGTCGTGCGCTCGTATCTATATTTGCTTCTGTAGCCACTCAGCTTGATTTGGCAGCAGTTTCACACTGGCTTCCAGGTTTCGAGGTGCCAATACTCAGGCTAATATTTTTAACCGGAGATTACTCAATAATTGTCTCTCACGCCATAGCTTAAGAATTCTTTCCCAAGAACTTTTAGATCATCTTCTTTTCCTCAAGATACTGCTCTCCATAGCTTTTTCAGCAACAGATTTGAATGACAAGTCTACTGAATCTGCGTTTTGATAATTTTGTTGACCCTTTCTTGACAAGGTAGTTTCTGTTGAATAGTAACTATTCAAGACAATTTGATGAACATATGTCTTAAAAGTCACTTTGTTGAAATCAAATTTATTACTCATTAGTTCGGAACAAATCATGCTATTATTAAAAAGTTTTACCGCATTTTTCTATAAATAATGTGAGACAATTCATGTCATAAATATCCTCGGGGGAGGGAGATCTTATTTGGAACCAAAGGGGAAGGGGTTGAGCCAAGTTTTTTTGTTGTTGTTGTTGTACAATTAAAGTGATCTTAAATCTTCTTTTTCGGGGATACGAGGGCAAGTTTCACCGCTGGTCTCGTTAAAGTACCTAGGGCTGTTTTCAGTTTACACGAGCGCGCGATGCCATCCGAGCCGATAAAAACTTCTAACACTCGACCCAGTGGCAAGATGCCTCGTGGTGTAAAGTCCTCAAGTGTCCACATGAGGTCATCTTTTTCGAGTAGTTCCTCGGGTTGCGTCCATTTAGTCCTTCTGATGAGAGTCGGAGCGTACTCTTTAACAAGACGCCTCCAGAAGCTGTCAAGTCTATCTTTTGCTCGCTTCCAAGACTTTTTGGACAATTTACTGGTAGATGCTTCGTAGAAGGCTGCTGCTGGAGCGTAGACAAATGGAGGACCCCTTAAGAAGAGGTTGGGTGTCAGTCGAAGGTCGTCGTCAAGGTCACTACTGACATGAGTTAGCGGACGTGAGTTGAGGATTGCCTCGGTCTCGGCTACGATAGTAGCAAATTGATCTCTTGATAGTCGATCAGAACCGAGATTTAGTAAGAATGCTCGTTTTATCATTGAGATGAGTCGCACGCACACGCCGCCAAAATGGTGACAGCCGGAGGATTTAGGCGCCATTCAACATTGTGGATTTTTAGAGTTTCATTTAGAGTGGTTTCGTGGAAGTTATTTGGTTCTGAGCGTAGTTGTTTACGGGCGCCGACGAAATAAGTAGCGTTGTCAGAGATTAAAAGCTTAAGTGTGCCTCTGCTAGCAATGAAACGTCTAATTGCCGTTATACAGTTGCTCGTAGTAAGGTTCTCTGTCGATCCCAGGTGAACCGCGCGAGAAGAGAGGCATGTGAAGAGGCAAATATAGCTTTTTTCAGTAGTATCCCTTGTTGCTATGTAGAATGGGCCGATATTGTCAATTCCTGTGTTTTTGAACGAAAATGGGTCGTCAGACGGATCGTCGAAATGAGTTGGTGGCAAGTCGGTCATGAATGGATGTAGCCCTTTGCCTTGGAATCTTCTGCAGAGAAAGCAGTTATGTCTAATCTGTCTAAGTGTTTTTCGGATCCCAATGATGACAAAACTTTGTTGCAGGTAGTTGCGAATGTACTCAGTGCCGTGATGCATGCAGTGGCCAGGAGCGCTCTCGATCATCATGCGCACAATTGGGTCCTTTGCGTTAAGAACTATTGGATGCTTTGTTGTGTCCGGTAAAGGTGAGTTTCCTAGTCGTCCTCGCTCGCGAACAACACCGTTGTCGAGAAAAGGTGACAACTGTTGCAGTTTGTCTTTGTTTTTTCAACTTGCTGTTTGCTTGGTAGTTGATTGTAGGCGTCACCAAAATTTTCTGACTGGGATTGATGATATAGGAGGAGCTTAGCTTTTTCTAGGTCTTCCATAGTGGTAGAACGTTTAGCGTTTAGAGTTTCCCTTAAGTGTATCGAAAAAAACTATAACACAATTGGTGACCCGAACTAACCGAAACCAGTCTGAAAACCTGGAAGAATCGATTAAGGGTCTAGTTGGGGGGCTAACCGTTGTAGCATTACTTCGTTCCAATATTTCGTAAATCTTCCAAATAGGCTCATTGTTGAGTTGAAATTGTGGTGCATCCAACCAGAGCTTTGCTTCGTCTTTAAGTTCATTTCCCCGTGTAGCACTGTCAGCTGGATTGAGTCTACCAGGGATGTGTTTCCATTGTTCGAATTTGCATAAACTAAGTATTTCACCAACTCTGTTTGCGCAGTAAGTTTTCAGTTTACCAGGTGATTCGATCCAGGACAAAACAGTAGTGCTATCTGTCCAAAAGTGAGTAGAGTGCGGCTTTATTCGCATTTAATCAGTAGCGATCTTGCATAGCCGAGCACCCAGAAAGGCGGCTTGTAATTCCAGTTTCGGAATGCTCTCTTGGTTCAGTTGTGCTACCTTTGTTCTGCCAATCAAAAAAGTAGTGCGTATGCCAGAGCTTCATGCAGTTCGAAAGTAGATGCACGTAGCCATTGCGTCTTGCGACGCGTCGCAGAAAACATGAAGCTGAATATCACTAGGTGACAGCTGTGGACCAAGTAAGCGCGGCAGCCTAACAGGGGGTACTTGTTTGCATTGGTCGACCCATTTGTCAATTATCGGAACAAATTCACTGGGCACGGTTTTGTCCCAAGATATACCAGACTTCCACATGTTTTGCAGAAGAATTTTAAGTTTTATGACAAACGGCGCTACGATACCTAAGTGGTCGAAAACCCTCGCTACTGTAGAGAGAATTGTGCGGAGCGTAGTTGATTTAGTATTAGTTACCCTAGTTGTTGGTTGCACGAATATCGTATCGACAGTTGTGTCCCATTTGACCCCCAGGACACGATGCACTGTAGCATTAGTAGAAACTTCGCCTCCATCAATGGAGTTGATCGCGTCATTAGTGTTAGACACGAATTTAGTTAAGTTGAATTCCCCCTGTCTTAGGGAGGATTTTAGTTGCGTAGTAGAGTCTCTAGCCGTTTGATGAAGCGCAAGCTGTTTGATGAAGCGCAAAGATGGCAATGGGTGGTGAGCACTTTGCACCAAAGATAAGTCGCGTGTATTGGTATTGTTTGATACCATTTTTAGTAGGCCAAAGGAAGCAAAGCACATTTTGATCTTCATCTTTAATAGCTAGTTGCATAAACATGCCTTCAAAATCCGCCGATACAGCCACAGGTTTTTCCTGGAATCGTAGTAAAGTCCAAACATGTTGTTCAGGAGGTCAGGTCCAGTTTCAAGGCAAGAGTTCAGCGAGACGCCTTTGTACATTGAGGCAGCGTTGGCTACTCTGCATACCTTCCCGGGCTTGTTTGGATTAGTTACAGGGTGATGAGTGAGGTACCCAAGTAATTCCGGCTGTGGGTATTGGAAAGTAACGGGCTTGACGCAGTTAATTTCCAGGTCAGTAGTAAGCGATTTCTCATAAAGTTGCATGGTTTCAGGGTCCCTTCTGAGCCATTTTTGTAGCGATAGCAGTTGAGCTTTAGCTACCGGATAATTGTTTGGCAATTTCATTTCGTTTCTCCAGAGTAGATTTATTTTGAAGCGATCTCCATCGTGCTCAAGGCTTTTTTCCATAAATCTTAGTTGTCGGTTGCTTTTATCAGAGTATGTAGCTTTGTTATCTTTGTGGATGCCTGATCGTTCCACTTTCAGAATTTTTCCACTAATTCAGTGAGATTAGCGTCTTCTTGATCATTTAAGTCAATGAAGTTAGTTGAATGTGAATTTGATCAGGAACTATTAGATTTTTGGTTAAGTGGGCAAGTGATCGTCCAACCTAGTAGATTTTTGACAGCGTAGGGGGTGCCTGTAGGACCTTTCGTGATATCGCGCTACTCAATTTTCCAGAAAACGTCTACGCCAAGCAAGATTTAAGTTGTGTTGTCACCTAGATCAGGAAAGTTGACATGTCGAAGGTGATTGTAGAGTGAGCAAGTTTTGTTAAAGTTGTTTGCGTTGATGGCGTCAAAACTAAGATCTTCAACTGAATAGATTGATTTTAGGGTGAAAGTAGGCTTAGTAGCGTTATGTGGACACACCTTACCAAACGCACCTCGTACGCTAAGCTGTAGTTGTTGGCTTGGTTTACACTGAAGTGTTTCAGCTGTTTTGCTGAGAATATATGAGCAGCTGCTGCAGTTGTCGAGTATGGCGTAGCAATCTATTTTGATGCCGTTGTTAAACAGTGCTAACGGTATAAATTGTAACTCATTTCTGATGTTGTTCATGTTTTGGATTGGATTCTCAGCTTGTTCCGCGGGCTTGGTTACTGTAGTGCCAAGCTGCATGTTATTTGATTTTTGGTTGTGCGTTTGAATCAGCTTTTGTCGATGTGTAGAGTTGAATGGTGTTTCCTCCGCAGTTGTTGATGAAACATCGCTTAAACGATGTGCATTCACTAAATCTGTGTTGGCCTAAGCAATTTAAGCACAGCTTATGTTGCTTCACCAGCTCTGCCCGTTGATCTTCGGGAAGTTTCAAAAAGTCCGGACATTTTCCAATGTAGTGAACTTGGTTATCTATTTGACATGTTAAAAGTGTTGGTATTGCTGATATGCCTGACGATTTGTCCTACTTATGCCTGGACATAGAAGTAAATTGGTTGGGTAGGCTGTCGGACTGTTGTTGCTTCATAGGTTGGCGATTTTGTCCCGCTTGGCTTGGAGTCGACGGCTCCATGTCCAGGTTCTCGCATGCTTGCGAGTAGTTATTGAGGTACTGCGTCAAGTCTTTGAGTGTAGCATAATCGAGATCGTGCAGCACGCAGTGTTCTGCCCACTTCATTAGTAGACTTACTGGGAGTTTTGAGCGAGCAAGTCGGGTCAGGTTACTAGAATTTAGATCAGCGGTGTAGCCGTTGAGTTCGAAGTTGGGGATTAGTTTACCTAGGAAAGCAGCGTATCTTATAAAGCCCTGTGGTTCGCTTAGTATCAGTTTGTCAAACTTTTCAAGTTCCCTGATGAGCGCTGTCACCACATATTTTGGCTTAGCGTATCTACGCACTAGTTCAAGTATTGCCTGTTCATACTGAGAAGAATTGGTTCCGTAGCTCTCTATTAAAGATTTAGCATTATCAGTGCATAATGACTGCAAGTAGGTAATTTTTCGACCGGTCTTAGGTGTGGGTTGTTGCCAATTGCAGTCTGAAAGAGTTCGAACCAGTTGTTCCACTCCAGTGGGTTGCCGTCAACCTTTTGTAGTTTTATATCTGGAAATTTGAATCCTTTCAAAATGTACTTTATGGCAGTGGTCGGATGACTGTTAGCGTGGTTGGTGACTTGTCTTTCTTCATTGTCGAAAAGGCTGTTGCGTTGTTGTTCGTGTGATTGTAAGATAGTCCTATGATGGTCGTTGAAGTGGTTGGTAACGAACTCTTCAGATGTAGTAGCAGGACTATTTGCAATTGAAGATGTTAAAAGACAATATCGGTTTTTGCCAGTTGACATCTGGGCTTCGTGTCTTGAGTTGTCGATCCAAATGGGACTTTCATTGGAAACTGATGGAGGCGAGAAGTTGTATCGTATAGGAGCTCGAAAGCTGAAAGTACACGGGTTTGCAGACGGTGAGACTGATCTGAAATCAGTTGTAGAAATAGTGATGACACCGTTGATTGTCTGATCATAGCTCCGTTGGTTCCCGGTAGAGGTGGGAAACTGTAGCGTTGGTGAGCGTCTAAGTCGAATGTACTTAAGCCGTAGGTGGATGTGTAAGTTGAGAAGTCGGCAGCCGTAGTACTGATGAAGTTGTTGGCCAAGTTTTCAGTAGTATTTGAGCTACTTACTGGTACACTGGCTGTTGCAGATGTGCCGTGCATTTTAAGTGGGCTGTTTGACCTTGTGGAAACTGAACCATCGTTTGTTAAGACCTTTTCGTACTTTCTAACATTGATTAGTAGGTCGCACTTTCGTTTTCGTAGTTTTGAAGCTGTGTTGAGGCAGTCTTGTGCTTCCTGAGTAGAACACGCGGCTAAGTCGTCTGCGAGCGCATCAAGCAGATCAAAACAAGTGGTTATCTCCTGAAAACTGAGTTTAACCTTCTCGTTTTTGCTTGAGTTGGCTATTTGCTTCGTTACTTCTTCCTCAAGCTCCACTGCAGCGGCGTCTC